TGTTTCATTTTAGTACCCCATCATTAAAATTTTAGGTACTAAAATGAAACAAAAAGTTAACAGCAATGTACTAAAATGAAATAAAAAGTTAATGACGGTACTAAAATGAAACAAAAATCAAACGTTAGATATAATTTTGAAAAAAATTAAAAGTTTAAGTACTAAAACAGAACAAAAAATGATAGTCTAGTTATAATATCATGATATTAATAGATTTTAATTTCAACTATTATCTCTCATCATATATATATATTCATGTTCTTTTTTGCATGGTAAACAAAACTGGTATCATTATTTAATAAATTAAATATCATATAAAATTATATAATATATTTATAATGTTGTTTTTAAAGAAGTAAATTTGAAGATAAAATATTGATAAGAATATAAAGTAGTCAAGGAATTAGTGAGAAAGAATTTACAAAGAGTTGCAATCGAAGAACTAAAATATAAAATGTAAATTTTAGGGACTCAATATAGATATTTTGCAGTGGTAGATGAGTATGTTATTTAAAATTAATTAAAAATTAACTTAAGAAAAGAATAATTGAAGAAATAAGAAAAACATATAAAATTAAAGGATTAAATTGGAAAAAAGAAAATTTGTAATAAAAAATTAATTCAAAGTAATATTAAAAGGATAAATTACGTATAGTATCTAAACTATTATTTTTAGTTTGTTTTAGTACCTAAACTTTTTTTCAAAACATACTTAAGTTTAGTTTTTGTTTCATTTTAGAATTTGTTCAAAATTTAACATTAAATTTAGGTACTAAAATGTAGCGAAATTGATAATTTAGGTACTAAACGCATTACGGTTGTTAATAGTGGGTACTAAAATGCAACAAAAACTAAATATTAGGTATAGTTTTGAAAAAATAAAAGTTTAGGTACTAAAACAGACTAAAATTGATAGTTTAGGTACTATATGTGACTTTATCCAAAAATATATTAGGTATCAAAGTGTAGAAATGAGTAGAGTTCAAGGGTCAAATCGTGAGTTAACCCAGTCTTGTATTACCGCATTGTGTCCACAACAAACAAGGCCCCTTCATTAGATGAGCCAAAAATCATACATTTCAGAGCCGCCATTCACAGACTCAAACTGCTGAATTCCATTTCCGCCCTAATTAAAGGTATTTCCTTTTCCTCTTCTTTTTCCCGTCTCTTTTCTGTCTCCATAGATTCCTTTTTTCGTGTGGGGATTGAGGGATATAGCAAAGGATTTACGGTTTCGAACAGTGTAGAATTGATTGAGTTTTGGATTTTAAACACAATTTCCCTAATTCCCGATTCAACATTTTTCTTCCGTTTCCTTTTTTGACGGGGAATCTTTGTGTATCTGATGAAATTTGAACTGGCTGCGATTTTTGTTGTTGGGAAGTAATCAAATTTCCTGCTTCAAGTTGAATTATTTCATAAATGGGGTCTCGATAGGTTTAAGATATGGACTAAATGACGATATTGGGAATCACATGGTGAGTGGATTTTCGAAATATGTTTGAAGTTCCATGAAATTGGTAGGGAATTTAACTATGTTTGTGCAGTATTCATCTTTGAGGAGAAGGCGCCTTAACACTATCTCCATGTCATCGAACTGAGATTACAAATATGGATTTGACACTGAATTATTGAACTGAAGTATAGGGTAGAAATTTCTTTACTCGTCTTCTCGGCATGTCGAGGGTTCGGAAAAAACCACACTGATTTATCGTCATATTAGTGTTTGTTTATGAATGGTTTATCTAGGTTTTCTTTTAGCAAGAACAGAAAATAGATGCTACTCACGGTTTATAATCAGCAGAGGATTTTATTGGTTTATGTTCTTATGTGAGAATTTTATGTTCGTTTATGTTTTTACGCTTTTAGTTCCTTCCTTAAAGTTGTTGCCTAATTGAAGTATCTACTTCACAGAACATTGCTTTATGTTACCTGCTGAAAGTTGAGGCGTCGTCAAGCATAACCGCTCAGCAAAAAACCCAGCATTTCATTGCATTTGTATTGGACATTTTACTCTAATAATGGCTGCCACTTTGTCTCATGCTTCTTACTCTGCCAACTTCGCATCCTCACTATCAAAAACCACCGTCTCCCGACCTTCTCGTTTCTCTCCCTCCTTCAAAGTCTACACCTTCCTGCGTTGGACTGTCAAACCCCTGAATTCTACTTTCACCCCACATGCACAACGTGCGATCACCACTATAACGCATGCCACCTCCACACCCTCCTCTATTCCTTCTGACACCTCAACTAAAACCTTCCATGGCCTTTGTTATGTGGTTGGGGATAATATCGACACAGACCAAATAATTCCTGCAGAATACCTCACGTTGGTTCCCTCAAACCCAGCCGAGTATGAGAAATTGGGCTCATATGCTCTTATTGGTCTCCCTTCGTCATATGCCACCCGTTTCATTGAACCAAATGAGACCAAAACAAAATACTCCATTGTGATAGGTGGTGCTAACTTTGGTTGTGGGTCCTCGCGTGAGCATGCACCTGTTGCACTTGGGGCTGCAGGGGCAAAAGCAGTTGTGGCTGAATCTTATGCTAGAATATTTTTCAGGAACTCCGTGGCAACTGGGGAAGTTTATCCGCTAGAATCGGAAGTGAGAATATGCGAAGAGTGTAGGACTGGGGATGTGGTGACTATTGAGTTGGGAGAGAGTCGTTTGATCAATCATACGACCGGAAAGGAGTATAAATTGAAGCCTATTGGAGATGCCGGGCCTGTCATCGAGGCTGGAGGGATCTTTGCATATGCAAGGAAAACAGGGATGATTCCATCTCAGTCAAAGTAAAATGCCGGTACATCTTTGATCTCAAGCAAGTAGTTCGTGTATATCATTGTCGAGTTGCATTCTGCAGTCGTATTAAGCTGCTTACTCTTGATTTGTAGGGTTTCTATCAGAGGAGCACCCTATTATCGTTTCATGGACTTGCGTCAAATTTGTAGCTCCTAATCGTTTCGGCACTATGGATCGATCCTCAACCATTTTTCTCGTTTCGACTTGTTTTGAAAAACGTTTAAAGGTTATATTTGTATCTGTTCTAAGCTGAACATCTAGCAGTCTTTCACCATGGATGATTTCCCTTTTTGAGGATTACCCCTAGTTTTTATCAGTGTGTTGGAAGACATGTAGGAAATAATTTAATGGTTGAGCTTGAATGATACAACAACATACTGCTGTAGGAAATACTTTAAAAGTCTTGAAATAGATATTACCTTGAAATTACACGAGATGGTGACGGTACAAGCGAAAAGAGATCGGTAGATAGCTAAGCCCAACTCCCCCAGCATGGGCTTGAGAATTAACTAAGCCCAACTCCCTATTACCTGATGTTTCAACGTCAAAAGATGGAATGGCCATGGATTTGCTGAACTCGTTCATATTCCCGAATAAGTTGCCGTAAAATCAAGCGTCCCTCTTGACTTTCTCCTCTATGATCCGCTACTCCGGTTTCACGTCACCTGTTGGAATAATGTATTCCCTTCTCCTTTCTTCTTCTTCTCCGGCGTATTCATTTCCCAGTATTCTTTCTCCTTATTCACCAACAAACACCATTTCAGCTGAATTCACAGGAATTTACTACAGTACCATTTCCCAAGATTTTCTTTTTCTTTTCTTTTTTGTGTGTGTTTTCTCGTCTGCTAATCTCGAGAAAGCTCCATGGACGAAGAAGAAGAAGAAGACGGGTTACCAACAGCCAGCAAAACGGAACACCAAGAAGAAGAGATAGGCGACAAAGGGTTGAAGAAGAAGCTGATCAAGGAAGGTGAAGGCTCGGAGACGCCTAAAGACGGCGACGAAGTCGAAGTGCACTACACCGGAACTTTGCTCGACGGAACCAAGTTCGATTCGAGCCGCGACACCGGCACTCCGTTCAAGTTCAAGCTCGGGCGGGGACTAGTGATCCAAGGGTGGGACGATGGGGTCGAAACGATGAAGAAAGGTGAAAATGCCCTTTTCACCATACCTCCCGAGTTGGCATACGGTGAGTCGGGGTTCTCTCCGAGTATTCCTCCCGATGCGACTCTTCAGTTCGACATCGAGTTGCTTTCTTGGACGGCCGGCAGATCGGAATCCGCCCCCGTCTGCTGCACAATTCTTTGAGGAGACATATCACGTGCATGTTTGCTTTTATATATATATGTCACGTTCTTATTAGTTGACATTATTAATTGATCTTGATATCTATAATTACACCATTTGCATTCATATTTTGGGTCTTTAACTTCACATGAGCATCTCTTCTCACTCTAACTATGTTATTCGGATTTAGGTGTAAGTGTCAAATATGAACATATTTATAATTTCGTGCCCATATTAAAAAATGGGTCGGATACGAATGCCGATAGCCACGTCGGGATTACAAGTTGATAAACGTAAGATTTTTTGTTAGGAGGAACGAATAATTATAATCATTTCCCTAGCAAAGCTTAACGAAGAACTAATTCTCCAGACATGTGAAAACTAAGTAGTATTTGATTAGGTGTTGTCAGAATCAAATCGAATTAATCGAACTAATCAATATGGATCGACTGGATTCAGTTTTTGAAATTTTTAGGTCGGATCATATTAGGTTAATGCTCTTTCGAATCCCATGCATGCAAGTTCTACGTTCTCACATGGAACAGCAGCTGCAATGGTCATGGAATTAGGGTTCAACCTTTTTTCTTTCCCAAAAATGTAATCTATTTACATTCGAATAACTAAAATATAGATTAACATATTCACATGTAATAAGATTTAAATCTAGACGATTGAAAAAGAAAAAAAAAAAGTTTGTATATATAAGTTACAACACATAATTGTTTACGTATTACTCGAACTTGAACATGAACCCAAACATTCGATATCAATAAGTATCACATAAACTTCTTTTTTTTTTAATTTTTTTCATACATTTGAAGGAATATACTTATATTTGGTGTTAGACACCAATATCGAAAATAAAACCAAAGAAGTTGAAGTCATGGAGGTTAAAATTAGTAGTTTTTAGAACCAACGAGACATGAAGAAGTTGAAGTCATGGTGGTGGAACTGAAGTTGTTCCAGCCAGTAACTCGCCGCGTTCCGTCGACAGAGAACGGTGTCGGAATCCGATGTCCCGGGGCTCGTCCAGAGTGTTCCGAACATCTTGTAAGTGACCATTGCAAAGGGAGGGAGACGAATTTCTTCCACCCTCGACGATCTTTTGCCCTCGACTTTCTCCGGCCCTAACTTTATATTTCCGGAACCTGAAATAACATCAACCCGAAAAACCCGTACTCGTGAGCTCGGAGTTTAATTCAATTGATTCCATGGCTTTCAGAACCGGACCGGTTAGCGAACCGGTCATGCTACCGGTTTACTGGTTTAACCGGTCGAACCGATCCTACCGGTCAAAAGAACCGGACGACGTCATAATTATTTAAAAAATTAAATAAAAATACCAAAAATATTTAATAAAAAATATTTTTTTTATATCACAAGTCATATTCAAAGTAAGTAATAACATATATAAATTAAAAACCATAAAATCAAGTGAAACAAAATGATTCAAATTAACTACAACATAATATTTAAGGTAAAACATATTAAATAATAAATATAATCATATAACTATAATTAAAAAATAAATTTGGGGCTAAAAAAATCATAACAAAATGATATTGTTTTGTTTAATTTTTTTAAAAACAATCCCACATGACTAAGAAACATAGAAGAGCATCCCGAAAGTCTAAAGAGTAAAAATATGAGAACAAAACAATCTCACATTGCTAAGAAACATAAAAGAGTATTACAACTAACTTCTATAAATAATAGAAGTAATTTGACATTCAAAATCATGGAGCCTTTTGGTGAGCATTGAGTGAACTATTCTTTCACTTCAATCAAGCTCGAATTTTAGGCTTCAATTGAGCTTCTAATTTTTTTTTTAGTTCAAGCCTTTTTTGAGTTCAAGTTTCAATATTATATTTCGAGTTCGAGTTGAACTTAATAATTTTTAACTTGTGAGTTTGAGTGGAGTTGAGCTTACTTTTAAAGTTTTCAAGTTCGAGTCGAGCTCAGCAATACTCGAGTTCGACTTGGCTCGTTTAACAAACGACGTTTGGTTTAATTTTTTTTTTAAAAACAAAATTTCCGATTTTTTCCGGTTTTTAGCCGGTCCGGTTCGAACGGTTCAGCGGTTCTGGTCGGTTCACTAGTAACGGTTCAACCGGTTTAAATTGAACCGGACTAGGCAACGGTTCCCGGTTAAACCGGCCGGTCCGGTCCGGTTTTCAAAACAGAGATTGATTCATATAATTATTTTTTTTAAATATATATAAACTGATTGAAAATCGTAACAAAAAAAGAAATAATATTATAAAATCGAATAAAATCCTATTATTTTAGTATTATTAAATTCGAATCTCAATATTTACGATAGTTTCGAGAGAGAGGAAATACCTAGAGATAGGGAAGACAGTGGATGATAAGTAAGGAAACAAGCAGACAGTTCTCTCACATTCGTTGCCCCTGGAACTTGATACACTGGATACCTACAAATAATCAAACGTTTACTTACAATTACCATTTTACCACTGCCAAAAGAAATACAACTCTGGTCAAATTATGAAATTCACCTCTTACTTTACAAAAATTAAGAACTTCTGATTTTGTAGTCCGATATAGGGATGGGCATGGGACCCGAACCCGACGGATTCCGACCCGACCAGATCGGGTCGGGATTTAAAAAAAAAATCGGGTTCAGGCCGGGTCAGGTCGGGTTTAGGGTGAAAAATACCTAACCCGACCCGACCCAAAAAAATATAATTTTACCTTATATATTTAGGAATAATTATAATAATACACCTATATATTATTATTTTCAATTAAGTCACTATTTTTATTGAATAATAATAATATTTTTTATTATTTTGGGTCGGGTTCGGGTCGGGTGAAATCTTGTTTCATGTGGGTTGGGTCGGATCTCGGGTGGAGGAGTCATTGTTCTCGGGTCGGGTCGGGTGGACCAAAAATCTGACCCAAGCCCATCCCTAGTCTGATTTTATAAAAACTGAGAAGATAGTCCAATATATGAAATGATCTAACAAAACAACAACAACAATTTATATATACACCAAATTAACAATAATCAATATTTTATGTGTTTAACAACAGAAGAATCAATTTCTCAATTTTCGTAAGGTAAGAGGATCAAATCGTGATAAATTTACCAATGACCGGACTAATTTCTCGATATTTCTAAGGCACGAGAACGGAACTCTAACGAATTTACGAACAAGTGGACTAATTTCTCACTTTTCATATTCTAACAATTAAAATGAATGGACTAAATTTCGGTTTTCGTAAAGTAGATGGGAGCACTTCATAATTAGGCCCTAAAGCATGCAAACTCAATCAAAGATTAGAGAGAGAGAAAAAGAAGATACCAAGCTATTGCCATCCAACTATATGGTGAAAGATCCTTGCTGTGGAGATCAACTAAGCCCAAGTACTCTTTGCTCAACTTACTGATCTGTTCAAAAGTAAAATCACATATATGTCGGGCTCGACTCGATTCGAATGAAAATATTTATACGGTTTAATTTGATTACCTTTTCTTTGAATGGAACTCGATTGTACGGACTCGTCGTCTCGTTGTATTGGTAGTACAAGTAGCCACATCGATCCATTGTCATTTGAATATCACGTGAATCATCATCATCCGTCGTTGGATCGGAACCTGAATCTCAGCTCTTATGTTTGCTTGGCGTCTTCTTAGTTTTGTCTCTCCCCCTTGGCATCAAATGTTATAACATGATTAGGGTTTTAGGTTTCGAATCTCAAAAGTTTTTAAGTAACTTGGGAGCTAAGTAAAGGTGAGAACTCGATCCATTCGATTCTAAAAAAATCGATCAAATCGAATTCAGCCATAAGCAGCAAAATGACTAGGATTAAATAATAGGAGGGGTCGAATTGCTTTACATCAAAAGAATAAGGATCTATTAGGTACTTAAATTAAAAAATTGAGAGAGATAGAGACCTTATTTAAGTAGTATTTAAACTAAAAAAGAACTAAAATATCATTTTTTATTAAAAAATTTAGGGCATATCCCCTTCCAGTATCTACAATACAAACCCTAACCCTAGAATTAAATTCAGATCATATTAAATTCGACCGATTTAACGGTCAAATCGATTCAGATCAATTAATACTAACCCTAACCCTAGAATTACCGAATTGAGAAAGAGAGAAGAAAAATACCTACAATTATCGCCGATTTGGTGGTCGGAGCCGGTGGAGGAAGAAACGGTTTTGGTAGTATACAATTGCAACGCGGATAGAGAAGGCCAGTAGTACTGAACGACTCGGTCGCCATTGTTGAGTTGAATCGGAACAGCAGCGCCATACGCGCTCCACTCAGTGAAACACTGCCAGAGCTCACTCAGTTCGAACCCTTCAGTTGTTTCACTCTTGATACGATTCTGCAAAATTAAATATATTCATTAAATAATAATAATTCAGATTCTCAAAGAGAACAATACTGATAAAAACCCTAATTGAACATGAACCAAAACCCTGCCTGTTTTGGATCAATATCCTCGCCCATGCTTTTTTGTATCTTTGTTGAATTAATAACTAGGGTAAATTACGAGTTTAGTACCTAAATTGGTTTTGGTCTGTTTTAATACTTAAACTTTCAGTTTTTACAAAACTATACATGACGTTTAGTTTTTATTTCATTTTAGTTTTCGTGTTTAAAATTTAACGTTAAATTCTGAAAAAATTAAAAGTTTAGGTACTAAAACGGGCTAAAATTAATACTTTAGGTACTAAATAAAACAAAAAACTAAACGTTAGGTATGATTTTAAAAAATTAAAAATTTAGGTCCTAAAACGGACAAAATTATAGTTTAGATACTAAATACGAAATTCAATAATTCACCCTAAAAAATAATAATTGGAATCGGAAAATATAGATTATGATGTCAGAATTCGAAATTAGAGATAATTATACAAGATGTCCTCAAACTATGATCTCCATTTTAAATTGGTTTTTAAATTTTAAGATATTCTATATTCACTCCTAAATTATGACCCGTATTCTAATATGATCTCTAAACTTCAAAACTTTCTATATTAATCATCAAACTATTAGTAGCATTCCATTTAGAATATGGTCTTCAAAAACAAATTAATTTTTTTAGAATATCACACGTGTTCAATTCTAAGGACCTTCAAAAATATTTTTTTAGCTGGTCACATATTCAATTCTCGTGACATTTTAAAAACTAATAATAAAGTTAACGACACATTAATAAAAAGATCAAAATAGAATGATACTGATAAAAAATTAATGAATAAAATAATTATTTGAATATAATTTAATAACTAATGTATACTTCACCATTACTACTTTTCCGTTTATACATGACGGTCTGGGATGCGACCGATTAGTGTGCACTGTTCTGGAAGCAGAGATGATACTACTTGTCCCTTGAGGGGGAAAAGCTCGCCGTCGATGCCACAACTGTTATGTGTATGCTTCCCGGCCTTGATCTTAACCGATTTCACCTGCATCTCAATTGAAGTTGCAGTTAGATGGTTCGAACAATCTTGGATCATGGGACTGGAAATCTAATCTATCAAACCGTGTGGTCTTAGACTAGAAGTGTAACACCCAATTTAGGGGCTAAAATTAAGAAATTATAAAGTGGCGGATTTAATTGATATTTTGAAAGAAATATTGGGGATTAAATTGTAAAGTTTTAAAGTTTCCAGACCATTTTATAAAGTGCAGGAAATTCAGTGGCTAAACCCATGATTTAACCATTTCTTATATATGATGAATTATAAGCTCCTCCCTGTGCGCACGTTTCATATTTTCCAGATTTTCCTTCTCCAACAACCCAACTTCCAACTCCGATCTACTCGCCGTCCGACCTCCAAACGACGAGCCGAAACCACCATCGTGTTCGTTGTCAATCGAGGAACAAAACCCCTCAAACCTTTCGTCGTGAATCATCGCCGTTCATCGTGAATTTCAGTCGGAAGTATCGTCGGTAATAACTCGGTTTTAGTTGGTTTTTCATAGATTCACGACGATCGGGTCATCTGTTTACGACACCTCCCGCACCATCGTGTTCGTTGCATCGTTCCGAGTTTGCCGGTATCATCCTTGGTCTCCGTCGACGGCGGCGCGTGAGGAGGTGAAGCGGTCAAAGTTTTCGATTTGTTGAAATCGAGCTCTCCGCCGTTCAAAATTGTGAACCGAGCTTTGTAAGTATCTCGAAATCGCTCAAAATAATTTTTAGAAAATTTTCCGAGATTTTAGCACTGTTCACGCGCCGCCACTGCGCGTGGGGAAGAAAAAAATGACCGGTTTGACCGGTTTTGGTGCATAGTTGACCGGTTTGACCGGTCACAACCCGACCCGACCCGTTAACCCGACCCGACCCATTTACCCGACCCGTTGACCCGACTCGACCCGTTGACTCGACCCGTTGACCCGTTGACCGTCGTTGACCATTGTTGACCAAAACTTTGACTGGCTTTGACCGGGCATTAAACGACCTTTGACTTCGACCGAGTATACATATCCTGACATTTTTCGACGTTCCGAATCCGATTCCGCTGTCCGTTTTTCGAAATTAGAACCCGAAGGCCTCGAAATATCCGGTCAAACCGATTGACTTTGATTTTGACCAAAAATTCCAAATTTCCGAAAAGTCACATTTTATGCTTTCGACGTCCTGAACCCGAATCCGAAGTCCGTTTCGCCAAATTCGAACCTGATAAGCCGTCTTTCACTGATTTATCACCCGATTTGATCTGTTTATCGCAATTAAGCTCCGTTTCTGATATAATTTATGTTGATATGTATCTGAGGAATTATTTGAAGTTGAATTGAAGATCAAAGGCATTCGAATGGAATTTTTATGGTCGATCGGTATTGCACGGAAATCGATGTAATACTTTACTACCTCTTTATGCTTTATGGAACATGTTGATATTGGTAAATGCATGAATAAGATAATGTTGGTCACTTTTGTGGAGTTGAATAATTTATTCACTCGATATGAATGTGGTAGAAATTCTGTAACTGAATACGGATCGAATGACTAAGATAAGAGATTGATAATTGTTAGAATTAAATTACAAGTTTGTGATTGGTGATAAAGAAATCAGCTCTGGATTTGTAACTTATATTTTATATCATCAAGGGTTAAATGTTAAAGATACTTGGATGAAAAATTATGAGAATACTCCGATATGGTAAAATTACGAAATTACCCTTATGTTGGAAAATGATAAGAATTGCCCCTGGAAGTTGGTTAATAACTCTGAAAAGACATATTGATCCGATATAACTACTGATGTGCATAAGAAATGTTAGTTTTATTTGGAAATTATGGATAACCGGTTTTAATCCTATGAGAGTTTGTGAAGGAATCATTTCAAAATCAAAGAATGTTCGGGAAAGCAATTGATCATAGGATCTCTAAATTATAATTATTTCGTTAAGTGCTAATATTGAAATTATTTGGTTAAGAAATTACGAAAATGCCCTTGAGAGATAAAATAGTCTGAATTGACCCTGAATGAGAGAGTACTTTGAGGATTTGTACTTAACTCGATTAAGTACGAATTTAATTGTTAAGATCCTATCTTTGTACAGAAAAATTTATAATATTCCGTATGTAAAATCTGAGAAGACACTTGACCCGAAAATATTCGAATAAGGAGTAAATACTTGAAGAGTAATTTATTGGAGGTATTCTGCTGACAGAATTGTTCGAAATGACTGAAGTAAATGATAAGATTGAATTAAATAATAAGACAGGATGGAAGGAAATGATTGAAATATTCTAGAATTATAAAATGACCAAATTACCCCTGGAATGGAAATGACTCAAGAATGTCACCAAGCTCAGGAATGAATGGATATACTCAAGCTTTGAAATGAATAGAAAAAAATGTTAAGCACCAAAATGACCAAAATACCCTTATGACCTAGAATAAGTAAATGTCTTGGATTAATTAAGAAATCCAAATAAACATGGATGTTGTGCTACCAGTAAAAGTTGTGGAACGCAACTTAAGTGATTAACCAACGTTAGTACTATATCATTACCTGAATGATATAAGTATCACTTGAATGTTTGTTCATCTGCTCAAATTTGGATCGATGATAATTATGGAAGTACTTGGCGCAGCTCAACTCTAGAGCGCATACAATACTAATAAGTGGGTAGTCGTTAGTTAAATCAACCACGAATACCAGAATGACTTTATTATATGAATAAATTGAAATAAAATGTAGTACAACGTGTATTTGAAATTCAGAAACGTCTGAATTATTCTGGAAAACTTTAAAGTAATCGGGATAGACTTGCTTACCAAACGAACTAAGTAACATCAATGAGTAAGGATTAAATAGGTGATTTGATGAGTTTGGAAACACTGTTGAACTTACATGATGAATTGTCATTATGGGTTATGAGCCATGGATCAAGTACGTCAGTATTTCCTGATATTGTTGAAACGTGGAAATGAAATAAAGACCGTTGGAAGATTTATTCAGTGATGATTATGGGGATGATCTATGGATCTGCACTATGGTATTAAAGAGTGAATACACTGGAAGGATAATGAATTGACTTGTTGACATGCATCAGTTTGAGAGTTGTGTAACTCGAGTTGTTTGATAATATGATCGATAGTCGTAGATTGTAAATGACTTGAATCTTCGATTCTATATTTCATCTAAAATCACTTCGGTCATGTTTGAAAAAAAAACAAGTAACGCAGATGGAAAAGATTCTGAATATCTCATTTGGTTCAATTGAGCTGAAATCCTATGAATTTAAAGTATATTCCTGAATACCCCTGATTGTTTGGGTAATGGAATCCCTCGCAGTAAATCTGAATTTAGAATTATTATGTATAAAGGTTCCTGAACGTTTTCCTAAAGCACACGAAAATATAGTGGGATTCTAATGTATCAACATTAAATGTCTGGCTAGATCGGTTAGTAATCAATTCTCCTCAATAGGACATTGTTCCAGGAATTCGATCAAATTTCATAAGTTTCATGTTATCCAAAATGATAACTACAATGGCCTCTGGAAATACTGGGATTCTCTAGTGTGTTCCCTACTTATTACTGAACTGTTTTATTGGTTTTAATATGTGGTACACCGAATTCATTGGTTATTGTTTTATGGATGCACCAATTTAATGTGACAATTTATGGAATATGGCTGCTATCTAATTTTTGTTTTGAAATGGTATATGATTACCATGTTTTTGGATTTATGGAATTTATGTCACGGTGCAATTGAATTTTGGAATTGAATTACGATGGAATAGCTCTGATCAAGCTAAATGGGCCTAATGTGACTCTTGAGGGCCCCAAGATGTTTCATTAGGTCGGCTTTCCTTTGCTGTGTGCTTAGGGTAAGCTATATGGACTTATTGACTTGGGCTTAAGGATACAAGCTTCATAGCCTATCCTTAAGTTGGTTTTCTTTTTGCTATGTGCATAAAGTAAGCTATATGGAAAATAATTTTGGGAACTACTGATGGTGTACCAGAAAAGGGTTTAAACTATGATTTTCAAAAGTTAAACTCTTTTACGAAATTGTGAGATTTACTGGACTATGATTTGTACCTATTATGATTTTATTATACTGTTGGAACACACTAGACATCCTATTCGATCTCCTGAAAATGTCATACTTTGAAAGGTTTCTTATGAACTGAGATTCATGGCTTCTACTCGATGAACTTCTAAGAGAACCCCAAATTATTCTGCAAGCTGGTATACATATGATTCAATAAGGAAATTATATGGCTTTCCATTTATCTACATGTCATGTAGCATCATCTGGTAGTTCTGTATTACTGAGCTTTCCAAAGCTCACTCTATTACTCACCTTTTCAGGTTAAAACAATTGTACCAGTGCATCTATCGACTTCAGTAAGGGAGTTCTTCCGGCGTGGTTGCAGAGTATGGTACTTGTGATTAGGGGGCATGTAATTGTATTTTGATTTATATACGAGTTTGGAAATCTGTTTTATTTTTAAATAGTGATAAATGATTTTATAAGTTTACATGTTCTGATAAAAAGTTTTAAAATTTCCGCTATTTTTACGGTGGGTCGCTCCGGTGGCCCTAATGTGACTTTCCGAATCGGATCGGGCTACCCGCATCGGTTTGGGGTGTTACAAGAAGTCGCTTCCAAACACATCTAAGTAAGCCTATGAACATCTATTACAGCACTGATAAAATGAAAATTAAAGCTCAACAATCATATACTATATTTGAAATTCGAGATTGCTTATGTTCAGGAGGAAAATTAAAGCTTATACCTTAATGTACTCGACATATGGCAGTGAAAAGTGTTTACCCATCTGTAGCAGCAAGAAAAATCTCATCAGCCTCAGTCGCCCACTCCCGTGGACTAAAAGCATATCCATGGTGTTGTCGTCGTGTTCGGCTCTTGGAGCCACCACCTGAGAACTCTGCACAGTTCTGCATGCATGGTTGCACACAAGGATGCCGAGAAATGGCCCCTCAGTTACAACCCATTTATCTTTTAGTCTTGGTACAGCTTCCTTATTTCCACCCGATTCAACATCATCTGATGGCCCTGGTAACTCGATTGGATTTTCGACTTCCCAATTAACCTCGGCATCCCACTTTGGTTCAGCATCCCAAATTGGACCTGGATCGGACAATGTAGAAGATATATCCTCTTTGTCATTTATTGCAGCATTACCCCGAGAACATCTAGAAGGATCATTTGCTGCCGTTAACCCACTCCATCCTTTATCTGTCCTGGATTTTGTTCTGGTCCTAGGCCAGTTTAGAGTGGTTGAATGTGGTAACTGGGGATGAATAACCTCCGGCTCAGCTGCCACATTGCTTCGCCCAGATGATGGCCATTTGATCTTGGGATCAAAGCCTCGCACGTAATCAGATGGTTCGGTGCCAACATGGGTGGTACCAAATGTGTCCATCTCACCCCCCAGACATCGACTAGGATTCATTATTGAATCTATACTAGATAAACTAGAAGCTCTGGGAATGCCATCCGTGTTTGACCTCCTCATAACATCTGTGTACAGGTCTGACATGTCAACTACTTCCCTATCAGCAGAGTTTTTACTGCCTCGATCCTCTTTTGCGGCTGGAAGGTACTCGACTTCGTAGTTGTACTTCGGCAACCACAGAAATTTTTGGAACCCGGCAACAAAATATCGCAGAGGACCAAATCGTTTCTGATATTTCTCAGAAAGTTCTAACACTGCAACAGATGAGAAAAAGAGACAAACTCAATATCTGTAAGGAACTGAGGTTGAATACTCAAATCATTCCAAAAGGATTAAAAAGATCATAACTGCATCTCACAGTCAAGTTGGCCACATGTTCAGGTATGTTAGTCAGGAAGCATCCAAGCATAATCAGTCCACTTCATATATATATATATATATATATATATATATTTCTAGGAAGAACATATGACTGATTGATATTGTTCTAACTAGGATAGATCATCTCTTAACTAATACATACCATCACTGGCAAAACCATAATAGGAGCACGTCATCCCAAAGTGAATAATACCGGTCTGAACCCACTCAACGGCAAAAACATCTGTCGCAGTAAGGCCTCCCTGAAACCAACGAGAACCTCAATTGTAAGCAACAAAAAGCACAGTAGGAAGTTAATGCGTCTATAAAAAGAAAATCTAGTATTACCACCATTCTTCATATTGTGGTGGTCATTACAAAAAGACCATGCTTCCACTAATTGAGAAGCAACAGCAAAAGATACTGACCATTATGAATAGCATATTTCAGTTCACCAGCTAAGTAATTTGAATTGTTAGGGATTGTTAGAAATAGTTCAGTTTAATTATAATGACACATAATCTAATACATATCAATAGATGGTATCCACTACAAACATCTACATACAAACGTACTTAGGCTTGGTAAACCTACAACTAGGCTTGTTAATTTGGCTAAGCATGCATATTTCTAGTTCTCATTGCACTAAGCTTTCCTCTCGTGTCTGTTTATTGAAAATAATTAGTGTCATATACTACTTAAAAGTGAATTAGTGACTTAAATAACAAGCTGGTGGCAACCAAAGACCGGTAAGTCAATCTCTGTAGTTCAGGTGCAAAATTAAAGAGATAACTGGCTGTTGAATCCTGGGAAACCAGAAGCCCCCGTATCTCTTCTTGAGACCAGGATATTACTGGATAGGGTGGAATCAGTTTTAAGGACAGTGTTCCTACTACACCTCGTCCTTGAAATACAGACTCCAATAATCTTTGGAGCAACAGAATTAGGATCATCAAAGCATTGCTAACCTATTTCTGACCCATGGATTTAAAGGTTTTGAAGAGAAGACAGGTATTAATCTATAAAGGGACAACAGAATAACCAGAAGCACAGACCATCGCATGTTGAACTTGCTAAGAAGCATTACCTTAACAATAGAAATTGCAGCGGAGAACGGATCTCTAACTCCAAGAACAGTCCAAACCAGTGAATTGTCAGAACCTGCTGGTATGATTCCATTGGAATTTCTATACCAAGCATTTTTGGTGGATTCTTGCACCTAACCAAGAGTTCAGGAGGAGTATCCACAGGAAAAGTTTCAGAACCTTGCTCCACTGAAGAAACTAAAGTCTGAGACAAACAATTGATAAAACACTGCTGATCTGCAAACCCAACAACCCATCGAACTGCCTCTTCTACACTAGAAGCCACGAAACGATTATCCTTTCGCCTTCTCTTTGATTTAATAAAACACGAAAGGCCATAAGAACCCTTTTTCAGAGGATAAGAATGCACAATGAAATGTCTAACACCAACATTGTAAGATACCTGCCAAGATAAAGAACCTAAATAGACTGATTGCAAACTCACAAAATCCAAAATAAATACTTATTCATTCCAACAATTTATTCAGAGACGAAATGGTTACCGAGACGACGTCTTCAAGAGACAAGACACCAGAACCCCAAACCAATGCCTTGCTAGTGAGTGTAGCAGCAACAGCTTCTTGGTTGGCAACATCAGTGGCAGAATTCTGCTCTATATCAGCAGCATTAGTATTAGCGGGAACATTCTTTCTCTTATCTAAAATGAGCCTACCTGAGTGAACCACATAACCAAGCAAATCAGATTTTTCATCCCCTTCTCGGATATCGATCCGGTGCTCGTCACACTTCGATTTATCCGGCTGATCATTCGCGACGGGGGCTTTGTCACATCGAAAGGAAGCCTGCAGCTTCTTAGTACGTTTCTCTGGGAACACAATTGGGGAATAGTGAGTTGCTAACTGCGAGCAAAAGCTCAGCCGACTCAACGTCTGCGGTGGCAGCGATGACGATGACACTCTATTATCACTCCTTGATAAACTTCCACTTTTTGACATATCCGTTCATGCCCGTAATTGTCGTTGCCAAAATCCACAACTAACGAGAAACAAACACAGACATACAAAAAAAAAGATAGTTCCTTCTCTCTTTTCTTATAATCTCACACCAGCTGTAGAGAAAACCAGGAGATTATGACAATGCGAGCTCAAGAATGATCATAGGTCTCCTCATAACGTAAATCGAGACTCACCGGCGAAGGCCGTCGGAATGGTATTAGTTGGTTGAGATTACGGGATTTGTTGATCGGAGCTACGGTGAATCGGTAAATCCATACACCACTAATCGTAAAATTGAAATTAAAATTAAATTATAAGTCCAAGTAATAATTCTTTTTATTTTTTTGTAAAAAAAAAGGTCTACTTATTTCTTATTATTAAATGGAACAATTATAAGAATAATAAAATATTACTAATAAAGATAAATATGAATAAGTTTTTCTTTTAAGATAAAATGATTTTTCTGTATTTTAAAAAAACTATTAATATTATTGGATAAGAAAATAATAATATATCATATTTATGTATTATCTAATTATATTAAATTTATCGTGTTTATATCATAATTTGATTTTTTTGGGGTAACCTACAATGTTAGTCATCATTTTATCTATTATTTATTTTTTGATCATTAAATTAATTTTCCCCTATAAAAACATTGTTAATGAACGTTATTTTCATCATCTACGATTCAAATTGGGATAAACTAAGTATTTAGTACATAAATTATGAATTTTTACCTATTTTAATACTTAAACTTTCATTTTTATCAAAATCATGCCTAACGTTTAGTTTTCATTTCATTTTAGTACATTGTCGTTACAAACATAACACGTTTAGTATTTAAACTATCATTTTGGAGTTTGATCCGTTTTAATATCTAAACTTTCATTTTATTTTCAAAACTTAACTTTTGAATGAGGTTAATAGAACGAAACAAAAACTAAAATTTATAAGGGCGGATACTAAAATGAAACAAAATTTGAACTTTAGGTACGGTTTTGAAAAAATTGAAAGTTTAGGTACTAAAAAGAACCAAAACTGATAGTTTAGATACTAAACACAGAATTTACCCTTAAAATTGATATGACATTTCTTTATTTTAAAAAAATTACACATCATTTTCTTTGGAGTAAAATACACAAATGGTTCTTCAATTATAGAGTTATGCTTCATTGAGTCCTTCGACTATTAAAAGTTATAAAATGATCCCTTAACTATAGGATATTACTTTATTAAGTCTATTGACTATTAAAATTTACAAAATTTTTACTCAACTGTTTACATGTTCCGAACTTGTCATTTTCTATGAAAAAATTTATGACATTTTAAGTTAAACGTTAACCTGCTGACTTTGCTATGGTAAATTCTGATCTCATAATCTCAAAAGGTTATCATATCTCAGTAAGTAGGTTAACATCCAACTTAGACTGTCATTAATTTTCCAACGAAAAAAATGAGTTTGAAACATATGAATAATCAGGTAACCATTTGAAACTTCTAATAGTCGAGGGAATTAACAAATCAACATCCTATAATCAATGGACTATTTTGTAATTTTTAACAATCAAGTGACTCAATAAAATAACACCCTATAATCAAGGGACCATTTGTGTAATTTACCCTTTTTTCCTTTTGTCATCAACAACATGTTATTTTTGTAATATTCTTATTTGATTAATATAACTATAACACATGTTAGTATCGTCATTATATTTTCAATGACCGATGAACAAAGTAGAAAAAAATAAAGTCAGTGATACTTTTAACAAAAAGGTAATTTAGTGACCATAAAAAACAATAGATTGATAGCGAATGATATAATTTACAAAAGAAATATATCTAAATTATGTAACTTTACTGACCATTATATACTTTTTGAAAGTTTAATGACCAAAATAATTATTTAAACATAGTTTTTTTATTAAATAATGACCTCTAATGTACTTCAATGAAAAACTTTTAACCATCTACCTAAGTATCAAATGTACATGACAACTAGTTAAAATTCTGGTCGATTTTGATTCGATTTGGAGATGACTATCTAATTCAGTTGGTAGAACACAAGGTTCTTACTTTAAGGTCGTGGGATCGAGTCCCACGGAAGGCATTTCATAATTCGGAGATCTTCTACGAAAGCTGCTCTCAACCTGGTGTTGGGGACAGCCTACTATTTTACCTCTCTCTTACCCCATTACATATGGGAACAAGGGACACCCATTTCGATTCGATTTGGTTTCTTTTAGTTTGAATTACTTTTCTGTTTGGCTAAAATTTAGGTTGGTTTATGTTCGATTCGGTTTTTTGAGTTTCAGGTCAAATTTAGATCATCATGTTCGAGTCTATTTCGAGTCTATATGATACCAAACAACAAAAACTAGCACAAGGCATTTCAAAACGAGGATAGCGGCCATCAAAGCAAATACTCACACAATAAACACTATCCCTGGAAGTGAATATTCACCGCCGATGGCGGCGTGAACAAAGAGGGCTGGATGAAGAAGAGAGCCGAGGGCAGAAAAGGATGGAACATGAAATGCGAATACCTTTTGCTCCGACCATCCGCGCCACCGAATTCCGAGCCTAAACCGGAAAAGTTTAAACCGTTAATTTTTCTCATACTACAAAGGGAAAGGTTGGAGAAAAACTCGAGTTTAAATAATCGGATAATACAAGGAAAGAGTATTGCCTGTCTTGATCTTAAAGTTGTGAATGTTCGGTTGCCTCCTAGAAATGAATCTGACGGGATGATCTGCTGCTTGTCTGGGCCGGTCGGTTGCAGTTATTAGCTGCAAGAACATGCCAGAAAATGGTTAGGCATCGATAAACCGGATTCGTGGGGTGCTAATAAACAATAAGGATAGCGAAGGCATACACAAAACAAAGAGAAACTATGGCCTTAAACGTCTGATACGAAAAGAATGTCGACATAAAAATGAGGAAGAAAGCATGGGGTTTGACTAGCAGCCTGTGAATCACACCTTCTCATCGAAGCGGAAGAGAGACTGATCGAGGTAGGGAGAAGGACTCGTTGCTTGACAAGTTAAAGGCAACGAGGATAGCGTCTTCTTTACAAACTGCAGAAGAGTCGTGAGGCAATTAGACATGCAAAACCGAAGATTGAAGACTTAAGACACCATGCCGGAAAACTATCAGAAGAGAATTCCAGAAAAGATACAAGAGAACCGTAAAATAGTAGACTAGCAACAACTTCCGGTTACGAAACTCACACCTGCGAGGCACTGGGGGCTTTATTCTTCATCCATTTTAGGTGTTCAAGTACATTAATATTATTTGAGTGAAAAGATACGAAATTCATACGCATCGAATGTATTGATATTGCATGGAAATGATCACAGAAACATTCAAAGAGAAGGTAAAGCTCGGCCGCTGCATTCTGAATGAAGTAATAGATCATGTGATTGTTCAAGAATTCAACAAGACAAAACAGACAAAATAATGAGAGAAAAAAACCTGGGTTTGATCTGTTTCTTCACTCCATATTTCTCGGAATATGAACGAAAGCAAGCGTTGTTTGATACCACTCAAAAAAGAATTGTTTGAATTAGGCTGGTCACGGTTTATACCATTATCTACAAGGTCTCCACGATTGCCCGACAACTGATGCAGTTAACTTTCGTCGGATGTTTTGAAGTTTTAGCATCAATAGTCAGATTGTTAGTGAAAAATAGTTAGGCTCTCAGGTTTAACAACTAAAATGATAAACACTATGGGCAGGGTCCAGAGATACATGTTAATGAGAAAGCCATTTGTGTCCAAAACATTTTCGAGAGAGAAAGTAACTCGACATTGAAGAGCTCTACACACTAACAGGAGGTACATGAATTGAAAAACCCAATAAGTACTTCAGTTTACTAGTAAGGCAGTAATAGCATTTGCAATAGAATCAGTGAAGCCTAAGTACATGATAAAACTAGAATAGAGAACATAAAAGAAAAAGCATCATGCCTGAGAACTGGAATTTATAAAAAGCTCATCATCTTCACGACAATACGCACCAATGGCTCGAACATCGACAAGGCTCCCGGAATCCCTGATTTGAATAATGTATATCGTTTGATAACGAAGCGATACAACCGAGAGCAGATCATCGTACAAGAAGGCACCCGCATTGTGGATGAAATTGAAACAATCATTGTGAAACACCTTCTCACCTACTTTAAACCCGTCATGCAACCTGATTGTATTGCAAAACAAAATTAAGAACAAAACGAAACAGAATTTAGTATTCCATAACTAATGGCGCAGTGTTTGATCTTGATTTATACAAACCCAACGAGGTGAATGGTGATTCTTTCAAACGATGGGATCCCCAGAATAGCTCCGTTACGAGCACCATGAACTGGAGCAGTGGAAGTACGAAAATCCCGAATTGATCACTCTCCATGTAGAGAAAGAAGCCTTTGCATATAAGCTCATTGAAGAAGCAAGTGATCGAACGTATTAGATCATAAATTTGATCCATTATGGGAGCCTAAACCCAAACCCAAACTAAATTGATGTCATTGCTTACATCATTTAAGTAAAGATGTCATTGCTTACATCATTTAAGTAATGATGTCATTGCTTACATCAATTTAGTTAGGTGAGAGTTAAGTATTTGTTGAATTTGTAATGGTTTAAATTAGTTTATTTGTGTGGTGTAGGATTGTTCTTGAGTAGTATAAATACCCCTTCCTATTTTAGTTTTAAGCATCAAGAAAAATTAAGAGCTTCTAAGTGAGTGAAGAAGCAAAGTCTTATAAGAGTGAGTTGTAGTTTTTGTTTTTGAGTGAGAGTGCTCTTGTAATATTTGTTTGAGTTTCAATAAAAGTTGTTTGTGTGAGTGTTTTATTTCCAACAAAGCGGTATCAGAGCGAGTTGGAAAGATCGAAGGTCTCGACGAGAGGAATCCGCCGCCACCAGAATTTTCTCAATATGAGTTCTGACGCACCGCCACGCACCGCCGGAAGACCGCTGCCAGAAAATCGAGTTGACTC